ATCACTGTCTCCTCTCCACCAATCAGCTGGTGTGTGGTATGGGTATGGTGCAATATGGCTGCTGTCCTGTCATCCAGGTGGATGCTGCACACTGTAGTGGATGAGGAGATTTCCCCCAATGCATAAAGCGCCTTGAGTGTCTAGAAAAGTGCTGTATAATTGTTAAGAATTATTATTATTATTATTATTTTATGCAATTTCTATGTAATTTCAAGACACCAACTTTTATACTCAATAATTTACTGTTTACTACAGTAAACTGTACTATACTATACTATTCTATACTGTTGATATATCACAGTTCAGCCTCAAATTAGGTCATTGTCATTTAAAAAAAAATCTTTTTTGTTTCATTTATCATCAAATTTTTACCATCAACAAACAAACAAACATATAAATAAAAATTTACAAAATATTATTTATTGTTTTCTACATTTTACAATCTACAGTCTTGGATGCAGATGCTTTTTATTGAACATAAATATATCTGCTAAATAATGAACTATTTCACTCACATTTTTAAAATTTTATTTTTTAAAAAGCTATTTGGAAAATTAAAGTAGATATTTTACTTGCATTCCTATAATATAATATAATATAATATAATATAATATAATATAATATAATATAATATAATATAATATAATATAATATAATCTGATATAAAAAAAAAATGTACCTAACCCATTACTTTTTATTAACCTTTAAAATTAGAGGCTGTGTTGAGCTTTTTTAAGGGCACATATGACCAAAATTTTGTAAGCGGTTCAGACAGAACTGTGTGTAGGTATCGTGCATCCACAGTTATATTGGGGTGATATAAAAACCATAAGTCTTTTTTTTTCTTTCTTTAATTTCCTGACTTTAAAATAGGATCCAAATTCCTCCCATTCTGAGGCCCACCAGGAGTGCGGTTTCCTCGTCGACTGATTCGATTGACTGATGCATATTAACATGTCTCTGTAGTCCAGTATCTAATCATATCAACAAGACAGGATGTGTGCAAAGCAACTGGGATTAAAAGAGCTGTTTGGCTCGCAACTGGGATTAAAAGAGCTGTTTGGCTCGCTGTGATCATCAATTACCATCAAATGTGATCAAGAATGAGTTTTACAAGTTTAACACATTTTTAAAACAGCATTCTTGTACTGAATTACAGCGATTTTAATGACTTTATCACCACAGCCGCATAGTGTCAGTTAAACTATAAAAGAAGACACTTCAATCCCGTTTTGTGGATGTTAAATCAGGTTTAATTTAAACATCAACATAATGGATATCCATACAACAGTGGATATTAATGTGTATCCTGTCACATTTGCCATGCAAAAACAGTGCAAGGTTAAACGCTCACACTGTGTGTGTGTCCGCTATGTGTATCTCTGTGCATGCATGAACTTTGGAACAACATTGTGTGTGACTCTTCATTGCAACTCCACAACAAATACATCAAATAATCATTGGGAAAGTTCTTACAGTAGTACTTCTCACAAACGTTACGTGAGATCTGCTTCCTTCGTGTCTGTCACTGTGCTGTTTATCTGACGCAACAGCCGGAGACAGAGACACACTGACATGCACGTACTGTAGGAACGTTGGGTGGGGAGAACTAGCATTAAAAGCACAGGCAACAAAAACAGCCACATTCAGAGCAGAAAATTCCAATATTCTGAAAGGTAATAAATAATAAGATGGGTGTTTTGAGCTGATACTTTACAGACACATTCTGAAGACACAAAAGAGTTATCTTAAATCTTGAAAAGGGGGTAAAATAAGTGCCCTTCAACACTTGAAGTCCTCTATAAGTCTTTCTAATCTGAATTTGTCAACTTGTGTCAAGCTTCTTTAACATCTGCTGAACCACACGGGTGTTTTATGATGCACAACAAAGCCCATTTCATGTAATCACATTGCTGTAAGCCCTAGATCGTCCTGTTCCTGTAGATTGTGTATATAGGTCTATAGACCAGATGAGGCAGCCGAAATAAGTATCCACATGCTCTATGAATCTAGGTCAACACACACAAAGGGATTGTTTTACGTGATGCAGCCCAGGAAACAAGATTCTCTACCTGCCATGCCTCTTTTTCACACATGCACAAACATGGTTATTTTAATCATTTGTTATCCTCGTTGTGAACAGCATTTACTGGCCGCTATCTTGTCCCTATTTTAACAAGGTTGTGAGTCTTGTTCTTTCTCTCTTCATCCATCTGTCTGCTAAACTCTGGCTAACCCCAAACACTCCTGTTTTGTCTGGCTACGTAGATTAACTGAATATTTCAAAGACAACTGCTGTGTTTACAGGCCAACATGACCTTCTCTTCACACTGGCCAATGGCACAGTTGAGAAATATATTTATACTATACATTAATACTGTTTAAAAGGCAGTAATTCAGGCAAAAGGAGCCCCAAACTAAGTACATGTTCATACTTTTCAGTTGGAAAAAGTTTCTAAAAATCCCTTCACTGGTCTTAATAAATATTCAAATTTTCTGAGCTCATGAATTTGGGGTTTTCATTTGTTGTCATCAAATAAATCAAAACTGAAAGAGATTAACACTTGAAATATATCAGTATGTGTGGAATGATTAAATAACAACTAAAATAACAATGAACAAAGAATGTAAACCTGCATATTTTAAAACAAGGTTATGATGTATTCTGTACAGTGGAGTTTGGTGTTTGATACGCCTTCTGGTGGATCATACAGCACAACATTTTTTTTTTATTCCAAGGAGAGGTTGACAGCTTGCTGCGGCTGACCACAGAACGAAATGAGGTGATCCTCTGAAAAAGTGCACATTTTTCACATTTATGCCTGAGGAGGTGCTTCTCGAAATAGCAGATTGAACATATATCAATGTTACAATTCTAAGAAATATATGTGCTGTAATTAAAAAAATTAATCTAATCTAATAACTTTTTGTTGCAATTTTCCCTCTTCATTTACAAATATCCTGATATATTGTGGATGGTTTTTGGTGATATATCGCTGACATCATGATATTATATCGTATCATATTACTGTACCTGAATATCTGACTACTTCTTTCACTTTTATCTTTGCTCTTAATCTTAATGATTTATTCTTGCAGTTTCTTTGATTCACTCGTCTGCAAGATTATTCCAATCAATCTAAGTTAATAATTTCATTCCAAATAGAGCTAACCAAGTCTGTCAAAATTGAATTCATATTGCAATATAAATGGCAGCAAAATAAAATATCGCAATGTTAGATTTTTTCAGTATCGTGCAGCCCTACTTCATATCATATGTGTTGTTCCAAATCTTAATTGTGACATTCTGCATTGTCTTTTGAGGTTTTGCATGCTGTATGCCATAGTAGTCACTAGGCACTTAGAGCTTAGCTTTTAGATCTTTGAAGACAACAGTGCCCTTATATTGAAAGCACACAACAAATTAGTGAGCACAAATGAGAGCTTATTGAGAAAATGAGTAGTTGCCCAGTTTAAACATAATGCTTTGTGCTGAAAGAGAGTCAGTAAATATAAAATGCAACACATAAGCATCTAATATAAAATGCATAACGGGTTATAGAAATTTGATTTGTGCTGCAGCTTTGCATATATAATTTAAAAAAAGAAGAAAAAAAAAACAGTTAGACTGTGCTAGACTAAACCACAAAAGCCAGTCGGATAAAGGAAGACAGGCTTTTTTATTTAGGGTACATATAGGCCATTATTTATTCATACAGTAATTTTTTAAAAAAGAAAAAAAAAAACATCAGCACATACTGATTCAAACACCATTAAATCGGTTAATAATATATTAAATCACTCTTTGGCTGACGCATTCTGTGAATAAAAAAGGATCAAGGACAGTCTGGACCAAACAGCAATGTCTAACATGCTGAACTGCAGGTGGCTCAAAGCTTCAATACACTTCATATAGGCTTCAAACACATTTTATAGCACAAATCACTGCTTGTCACTTCCGTTTCAGTAATTTCAAAGCTCATTTCATGCATGCAAACTGCCTAAAACATCAGCAAAGAATGGCATTTAGAACAGACTTTATTCTGCATGCTTAACTTTACGCAGATGATTAAAATGCCCCGAAAAGCTCTGCCATGCAAATTAATTTAGCAGCTTTATCCTTTCTAAAGAACCCACGTTCTCCAGTGAATCGATCCTTTGAGACCATCACCACCTTGCTTTGAGGAACAGACGGATGCACGCATGTCCTTGGCTTCAAGTCGGGGAAAGGGAAGAGTGTTCTGGGAATTAATCAGAGCCAGAACATTTGAACTAGCTAAGCTTCAGTCAAATAAATGGGCCACCTAAAACAACACCACCAATTACCACTGATTAAAATGAGGACACTTGGCTTCTGCTCCTTCTTGGCTCTTCAGTTTCCAACAAGCGATGTCTCTGTGTTCCATTAGTCAAGTGAGGCAAGCGACAGCTCATGCAAAACCTACAGCAGCCAAACCCTCACATCCAGGTCTGTGTTATTTGAAATGGTGCTCACGCTTCGTACAAAAGGTGAACACATCAGTGTCAGAAATTCTCTACCTCCCATTTTGTGAATCTTATTTCAACCTTGTAAAAAAAAAAAGGCCCTTAGAGCCAAAACAAGCCTCTAATGAACTTCTGCAAAGTGCCACTTTTAATTAGCAGAGAAGGGACCTTAGACAGCTCTCAGGCTATGACAAAGCTGTCATCGTTAGCATGACTAAGAGCTTCATGCAACAGCGAGAGTCCCAGAGAGGAGGGCAATGAGACACGAGAGGAGAGAGAGAGAGAGAGAGAGAGAGAGAGAGAGAGAGATAAAGAGAAAAAAGGGAGAGAGGAAGATAAAGAGAAAAAAAAAATACTGGCAGATTGTTCCAGAAGGATAATTTTCTCAGAAAAAAACAAGACATGGAACTGTCATCGGGTCTGAAAACCGTACAGCCTCCCATCCGTGGTGATTCCATTTATTTTGTCGAGCGAACAGTTTTCCAGCAATGCAGAAACAGGAAATGCGGTCATACCTGCAGTGTTTGTGTGGGCCGCTCAGGGTCTCGATGACAAAGCACTCGCCATCATTCAGGCAGTAGGCCAGATCCTTCTCCTGACACGGCTTGAAGTGCTCCGATTTCAATGGTGGCAGGGTTGGCGATGCTGAAGGAGAAAATAGAAAAGAGGATGAACATTATGCCGTATAATAGACTGAGAATACGAATATGAAATATGAAAGAGAAAACAATCTAGAGGAACTAAACAGTGAACTTGCCATTGTTGAAATTAATAAATATAAATAACACATTGTCGCCTTGAAATTATAAAGTATTAACTATTATATTCTTATTATATAATAACTATATATTATTATTATTATTAGTTTTTGTTGTTGTTTTAATTATGTGCAGTTCAAATTCTCTATGTACATTTTGGAAAATGCATTGTATTAAATTTAGTAAAAAGGAATGCTCATTAGATAATTATGTTTAAAAGGTATGCATAATAGGAGCTCTTGCCACAGATATACTTATGATTATAATGTGACAGGACAATGTGTAATATTATGCTTGTAAAAAGTCACAAATAAGCAAGATATTGCATATTTATCATTCAGTTTTCTTAGTGGATGAGTTGCTTGTGTCACAACCTTTAAAATAGAAAAGCTGAATAGAAAAGTTTGACCAAAATTTTTAAAATACTATCATCAATATTTACTACCAAATAGTTGTTCTTTTTTTTTTCCATGTACACCCAGTGTCCTAATCACCAGCGATTTAATCCTTGCAGATCCCTGAGAATCATTCACTTTTGCTCAGGACTACAAATCCCGTCATGCTCCACACATTCACACCTGTTCCGGTTTCCTGCTGATTGCTAATACACAGCTGAATCTGTTCAGAATTAATTACTTGGACTTCAAAAGCAGCACAGACACACACACCAGTTGCTGAGTCATATTTATCTGTTTGTGAACATTAAGACGCATTTTCATTGCCTTGCCTTGCCGTATTAGACCCTTGCTTTGTTGTTTTGTTTATTTACGTTGTCTGCTGCCTGCTATTGACCATCTGCCTGTTCCTTCCATTCTATGTTGAATAAATCTATATTTGGATCTGCACCTCTGTTTTCAGCCTCCCCATCACATAACACCCAGCATACTCCTAAAGTTTTTTTAAATATATTTCCAGGTTGTTTTTTTACTCGGATTACACCATTGAAAGAAAACACTGGAAGAAAAAGACGTACAGTGCATGAGTCTCTCTATACTTTTGGTAGAGTATTTCATCATCATTAAAATCAATAGCCTTCAACACTTCCCTTTCCAATGTACCCTATATTTCCTGACATCTCGTCAGTTGCCAACCAAAAAAAAAAAAACAAAAAAAAAAACAACATCACATGAACATCAAAGATCACCATCACAAACACCAGAAAATGCAATCCACCTCTAGAAAACAAGCAACCAAAAGTCTCTTTACTGAGTATAGCTTGTTAAAACTGACAGGGAGTGGATTCTGCTTGCTGCTAATCTATTACTGAAGGATGATAGATGAGAACAATGAAGTGATCACTCTCTCTGGCTTCTCAGAATTAATTCAGGAGACTAGTATTTGGGAAAAAAGACTTCATTGTGATTAATGATGCCAAGTTCACTTTGCTAAACTCAACATAATAAGGCAACCTTGCACTTATTACAGTCTGTGCAAGCTGCAACTCAGTAAACAGCACTAATAATATGTCTGAGAAACTTTGACTGACGTTCATGTTTTGAACACAGCTGAAATTAAAAAATAAATAAATTTAAAAAAATTGCTGAATGGCTGGACGAATGAAGAACATCACTTGAGAGAAGATGAAGAGCTTGTATATTTAACAAACTAGATTGACCTCAAAGTAATAGACATGGTTAATTGCGGCAAAATAACTTTATACATGGGAAATGTGTTATGTACTCTGTTCTAGGTATGAGTTTATTCCATGAATTTCAATTAAGTTCTCAGTTAAACTGCTTAGAGGTAGGCGAAATGATTGACACTTTTACCCTGAAACAGCCTTACAGGTTTCATAATCCTCAAGATCACCACATAACAAATTCATAACTCCAACCTGCAGTAAAACAACCTAAAGCATATCCAACTTTATCCTATGCTCATACAATTGATATATAGTTTCCAAATCTCTGCAATATGTATTATTTATATAACACATTTTTGCTCTACATTATAAAGTATAACTTTATTATTACACAGCTCTATAAATACAATATGAGAATATCCATCTTTTTTCCACATACATAATACAGATACAGTATACTCATGTGAAATATATATATATATTAGGGTTGGGCATCTAAGCTATAATGCCGATCCGATACGCATCTCGATACAAAGAATACGATCCGATATATTAGCGATACATTTGTGACATATTGCGATGCAACACGATACGATTCACACCCATATCACGATACGATGCGATATTTCAGCACTAACTTAACTAATTAGATCAAGTTTATGAGATGATGTGAAAGAGGATGCTGTGCCATTGAATGAGTTTGATTATTTATAAACCAAGCAAAACCAAGACTTTTTTTTACAAACTGGCTCTTCTCTCAGAGCCAGAGTGTCAGTTTACAGTAGAGGGCCATTTTAGAACATATAGCACAAATTATTTAAGTATTTTCAAGATAAACAGAATGTATAAGTGCAATATATATTAAAAAAATATGTATATATTTGCACTCTTTCAACATAAATAAATGTAGCATTGCACAACAAGAATTGTGATTTAACTTTTCAACTATGAAAACAAGTTTTACAAAGATATATTTTGCCACTGATTATTCAAAACTTAAGGTTGTGAACTAGCAGTGTTATGCTGCTTTGAAACATCACTGTCACTGTAAACAACAGGCTAATAAAAATATAACAAACCAGCAATCTTCTTGCTGTGAGGTGGTCAAACTACCCACTGTGCCACCGTGACACCCAATTATTTTTATCATTATTATTAATAATATTATTATTATTATAATTAAATAAAAATTAACAGGAGGAGGTGTTTAAAACCTTCGTTCTCCGTGACACTAGGCTGAATATCTTTGCAGATGAACAATGCAATAACATCCGTTATTGGCGTAGAGCGAGCAGAACTGTTGCGCATGGAAAAAAAACTTGCAATGCTTTTCTCACCACTTTTGGAGCTGGTTGAAGCAGTGCGAAAGCCGGTGATGTAGGAACACTGGAAGATGCTTTCACAACAACACCGTGGCGCTGCTTCAAGTGAGATTTCAGATTAGTCGTACTGCCCGCGTATTTTACTGATGCGCGGCACATTTTGCAAATTGCATCTGTCCTGTCATGTCGTCCATCCTTAAATCCATAATGTTGCTTGCCATACTTTAGATTTAAAACTCAGTGGGGAATAAAATGTTTGTTTTGCTTCTCGCGCTTTCTGAGGGCGCTCCACTAGCTTCATCCGCACACCTGATACACTGAGTTGTAGTGTGTGCACATCCGCAAATCCGTTGCTAAGGCTTACTTTATGTAGGTCGATTAAATTATGCGCCAAAAACAGGTTGACAACACTTGTTAATAAATAAAAAATACATTCTATATTAATAATATAAGCTGTATCTCGGAAAAATCGATGCATCTCGCAAAAACCGATGTATCTCGATTTGCTTCCAAAATTTCATTCATCCTCTGCTGCTCAACCGATGCACTCGCATCGTGCACGCGCATGACCGCGTATCGATACATATCGGTTAATCTTCCCATCCCTAATATATATATATATATATATATATATATATATATATATATATATATATATACATACATTGGGACATCGACACAATTATAAGATTTTTGGCTGTATACACAAACACAATGGATTTAAAATGAAATGGATGAGCTTTAAGATGTGCTTTAACTGCAGATTATCAGCTTTAATTTGATGGTATTTACTTCCAAATCAGGTGAACCGTGTAGGAATTACATTAGTTTGCATATGTGCCTCCCACTTGTTAAGGGACCAATAGAAATGGGACATAATATTCATAAGTAAAACTTGTACTTTTTAATACTGGTAGTAAATTCTTTGCAGTCAATTACAGCCTGAAGTCTGCAACACATAGACATCGCCAGATGCTGGGTTTCATCCTTGGTGATGCTCTGTCAGGCCTCTATTGCGACTGACTTCGGCTTTTTCCCTTCAGTTTAGTCTTCACCAAGTGAAATGCATGCTCAATTGAATTCAGGTTAGGGGATTGACTTGGCCATTGCATAACATTCCACTTCTTTCCCTTCAAAAATTCTTTGGTTGCTTTTGTGGTATGCTTTATGTCATTTTCCATCTGTACTATAAAGCCATCTATTGAGTTCTGATGCATTGGCTAAATATGAACAGATAATATTGCCCAAAACACTTTGCTCTGCTTTTGTCAGCATTCACATCATCGATAAATACGAGAGGACTAGTTCTATTGGCAGCCATACATGCTCACACCATGACACTACCACCACCATGCTTCACTGCTTAGGATCATGAGCAGTTCCTTTCCTTCTATACTCTTCTCTTCCCATCACTCTGGTACAAGTTGATCCTGGTCATCTATCCATAGGATGTTGTTCTAGAACTCTAAAGGCCTTTTTAGAACTCTAATCCGGCCTTCCTATTTTTAGGCTCACCAATGGTTTCATCTTATAGTTAACCCTCTGTATTCACTCTGGTGTAACTCTTCTCTTGATTCTTGCCTCTGACACACATACATCTCCCTCCTGGAGAGTGTTCTTGATCTGGCCAACTGTTGTGAGGGGTGTTTTCTCCACTAGGGAAAGAATTGTTTGGTCCTTCACCACAGTTGTTTTCTGTGGTCTTCCGGATTTTTTAGTGTTTCTGAGCTCACTGGTGGGTTCTTTCCTTTAAAGAATGTTCTAAACAGCTGTTTTGGCCACGCCTAAGGTTTTTCCTATCTCTCTGATGTTTTTTTTTTTTTGTTTGTTTTTTTCAGCCTAAGGATGGATTTCTAGGCTGATAGTGACAGCTCTTTGGATCTCATCTTGAGAGTTGACAGCAACAGATTCCAAATGCAAATAGCATGAAATAACCCCTGGATCTTTTATCTGCTCATCATAACTGGGATAACATGGCAATAA